AAAAAAAAAAGGAAACCCAAACAATCGAATTTAGATACTGTGATGACAAAGCCAAAAGTTCCATATCAATTTCTTCCCTTTTTTTCTTCTTCGAGCATAAAAACGTGAACGTTGCATTGTTATAGATCGAAAGAGTGCGACGTGGTCCATGGCGAGTGCACGCAGACGTACGTGCCGTATCTGTTTCTGGTGATCCCGCTTGGGCCGGTGACCTTGACCGGTCAAGATTACGTTCTGGTGGAGAGCGGTTGCGTGTGCAAACCGAGAAATTCGGCGAGCGCCACGTCGGAGCCACCGGCCGTGCCAACTTTTTAAACGTTCGTCGAACCCGATCAAGTGATCAACATCGAGCGTCACCGGTGTACATTTAAGCGCCGAACGAACACAGCTCGAGATCAGCGTCGAACGTGACGAATCGGTGGAAGGTGACCCCACAGCTCGAACAACCTCGCCGAAGAACCTAGTAACCTCTTTGACGGACCTAGCAAAGAATGCTGAAACCAGTATTGAAGCCGCTGGAGAATTGATTTCTCGGGAGAAATCTGCTGTACGAACGATCTTCTCTATGAGCTCGCTGCGATGGCGCACGACTCTTTTGCACGACGGGATAGTAATAACGTTTAACGATGGATCGATCAGCTTTTCTAGTTCGTCCGCAATATCCGCGAGGAAATTTCCTTTCTACCAGAAACTGAAGGAACTCCTCTCTTCGCTGCGGTCACGAATTTCTTTGGAAATTCTTGATGGCTCCGAGAGTCCACGCATACCTGGTTAATAATTTAGGTCTCTCATCGTAACTCTTGTATCATGAACTGTTATGTACGAACTGTTAGCGTCAATTTGTTTGCAAAAGGGGACGAGGCCTGGAAGAAGCATCGGTAATCGAGGCGCGCTTCGCGTGCTCGTATAATGATGCGTGGCTCTTTTACCGTCGTTTTTCTCTCTTACATCGTCGTGCGAAGGAAAAAAAAAAGACAAGGGAAATAAGTTAGAAGATGTTATTTCAGCGTGAAAAAACAAATCGGAGCAGCGGCGGTCGTTTTTCGCGGAATCCGGTCTCGGGATCCAATCGAGTTCACTAGACCTGCTCACGAGCCGGTTTCGAGCAGGTGTATAGAACAGCTTGTAACAGTGCTCCGCGCGAAGTATAGGCGAGAAATTCTTTCGAAAGGTATCGTAAAAGTTATATCATTTGCATTAACCGCGCCGTAATAAGGCGGAAACGTCGTTAATGCGTTCTCCGGCTCTTCAAATCGTTACGTCGTTCGTTCTGTTTCGTTCCTCACAAGATAATCCAGTGGAATTAGTTCAATTTACGGAGTCAATTTAATGTAGTGCAAGACACAGGCGATCGGAGCGATCGTTAAGCGAACGAAAGTTCCAACCTCGACTTCATTTCCCGCTACGTATATATTGTAACTCTCGCGGATATGTTT